TGGCGGGGGGCGAGGGCAGCCGCGGGGCGGGGAGGGGGGGGGGAGTGGGCGCGACTGGGGCGGGCACACGTCCTCCTCCACGGTGGCTTTGGCTCCAGAGCACCCAGGGATGCCAGCCCCCTGCCCAGCAATGCGGCTGGACCACTGTCCCCTGCCATCGGTCCACCCTGCCCCGCCTCCCTGGGCAGGGGCTGCTCTTCCCTCCTGTGCTCAGCACCGCGGGGCACAGCCCACCACCGCGGCTCCACACACACCCCGACAGGGACAATAATAACACACCGCACCACACCAGCGACTGCCCCCACAGAGCCCCCAGACAGGGCAATTCTTCTGCCACAACCCTGCAGCAGCAGCACAGCCACGGTGTGCCATGGCACTGCTCAGCGAGGATCCAGGCTCACCAGCACTCTGCCAGCCTCCACTCAGTCCCCCACATCCTCCAGCCACCAGCGAGGCAGAAAGGTCCCCTTACCGAGACACAGGTGTGGGTCTCAGCGCTGCTGACCCACCTGCACATGAACGAGAGCTAATGCAGGCACAGTTTTTCACAGCAACCCCTCTGGCCCAGAACTGTTCACGCCACAGCATGAGCCCCCTTGGCAAACCACACAGCCTCCAGCCCCAGGCACCCAGGGCCCTAAGACAGACCTTGCACCCTGCCCCCTGGGTGCCTGGGGACTCATGTGGGATGGCAGGGCTGGACTGATCAGCCTTGGGCTTTGTGGCTGGTGGGGCACAAGCACGCGTGACACACACGAGACCTCCCCTCATGCTGGGGTGAGGCCCCATGGCACAGCTCAGGGCAGGACTGGGTGCCCGGGACCAAGCTGCGATGGGGCTCCTAGGGTATGGGCAGAAGTTGTGGGTGGGGGACCCTGGTGAGGCTGGTCAAGGCCATTAAGACCTGTTAGTGCTCCCGGAGTGCTAGCATAACTCCAGCACACCTTCCCCAGCCAAGTGTCCCCAGCTCTGCCAGCCTGCCCCTGTTCCCTGGGTGTCACTGCAAATAAGCCAGGAGGGCAGTCCCAGCCCCACAGCCTCAGCAGGGCCTTTCCTGCCTGCTGCACCTTCCCCAGCTCTTGGTGTCCTGCATCACCAGTTCACCAAGCCGTTGAGCCCCACAGCACCCATCAGTCCCCTTTCCAGGCTCCTGCAGAGGCTGCCAAGGTCCCAGCCCCACTGGCTGGCTGCGCTTCTCCCTCCCACTGCACAGCATCCATGGAGACACTGCTGGAGGCCTCCACATCCAGCACTTGTCCCCATGCTGCTCACCTGTCCCCTGGGGAGCCGGCCACCCCACGTGGGGCTGCACACAGGCATCACGCTCCCCATGGTGCTTGGCAGCTCCGGCAGCTTTTCTGCACTTCCCTTCCCAGCCCATGACTCCCAACGTGAGGCTTTTCATGGCTCCATAATAACTTGCAAATTACCCAGTACAAAAGGAGCTGTTTATACAACATTTCTGACAGTCCCACAATTCGAGTGATGCTGCGGGGTTTCCGTGGAGACCCTGCACGTCAGGCGAGTTCCACGAATGCCAGAGCTGGCAGTAAGGGAATCTCCTGTCAAAGCCAGAGCACTTTTCTGGGGGCCCCCAGCCCTGTGTGGGGAAAGAGGTGGGTACCCCTGAGTCAGGGCTGGGCTGTGGAGCTCAAGTCTGCCAAGGTCCCTGCACCCCGGGTCTCCCTGCCAGGTGCTCTCACCCAGGCTGTGCATGACTGTGGTCCTGCCACAGATCTGCATAGCCTGTGCCTTTTTTTCAGACTCAAGTGGAAAAAAAACCACCTGGTCAGGGATGCTGGGAAGGAGCACCAAGGCTTGGGCTTGGCACATGATGGTGCCAGAGCAAGGGTGCTGCCACCACAGCACCCGCAGGGACAGCCCCAGGGAGGGACCACATGTGCCCAGCCGAAATGCAGTCATTTCTGTATTCTCCATCTGCCACATCTGCTGCCCCATTGGCCATGGCTCGCAGCTGTCCAGGCACACAGCCCTTCTCTGTGACTGTGGCTCTGCTCCTTGGCCATCCCAGGAGTGGCTCTGGGCTGCCCCAGAGGTGCTGCAACTCCGGGAGCAGCTGGGTCACCTTTGAGGGGCCGTCCCTGCTGTGGGGCCTGAAAGTCTTTTCCAGAGGCAGCAGCACCTGCAATATCCCCTGCAAGGGTAAAGCCAGACACCCTGCAGGTGGCCCCTTTGCCACCCATCTCCAGCTTCGCCTGCTGGACACACACCAGCCCCGAGCAAAGCAGGTAGCAGCGCTTGCACAAAATGCAGCATTAATGTCACTGCTCTGATCCACAGCTCCCCACACCTTGCTGGGCTTCCCCAGCAGCTCTGCACGGATCCTGCCCCTGCAACCGCAGCACTGGCTGAGCACCAGCCACCTGGCCCCATCCACCAGCCCCCTTGTCTCAGGGCTTGAATAATTGATGGCAGTGGGTCCATGCAGCGTCTCGGGTAGGAGGAGGTCTGGGCATGAATCTTTCATGTGTTTTTGATTCCTGATGCTGCTGGGGACTGTCGGCGGGAGGTAGGGATGTTCTGGGAGCCTGGGGAGTTACAGATCATCCCCAGTGGGAAATAAATGCAGCGGGATGGCCCTTGTCATGGGGCAGGACAGCACTGCCGTGCTTTTCTGGCCCTGGGGAAGAGCAATGCTGTGCTGTGACCCCTCTCCCAAGGGCTAGGGACACCCCAAATACCCTCCCCTGCATCGCCTCCCCTTGCTGCCACTAGAAGGATGCCCAAGCACATGGTGCCCACTGCAGGCGGAGGACGCAGGGACACAGAACAGCAATATGACCTTGGCTCTGGGTGCCTGGGCATGAAGCAGGGTGGCAAGAGGCATTTTGTCCCAGCCTGCCAGCCCCGCTTCTGGCATCTCCCCTGCCTGGGGCTGAGGGACTGCATGCAGAGGGCAGGGGGGGAAGGAGGCAGGAGTGCAGGCAGCAAGGTAGAAGCAGCTAGCCCCTTCCCAGTGCCACCATGCTAGGGCACAAGCTAGCAACTTGGTGTCAGGAGACAGGAGGGGCACATGGAGCACTGGGCAGCCTTGGGAGGAGGAAGAGACCGTCATCCCATCACGAAGCCCTGAGCGGCAGTGCTATATTTACCCGCCCACAGGCCCGGGTCTCGGCCTCTTGCCTGTAACACAAGCCCTCCAGCCTGCCAGAATCCGAGAGGACGGCACATTCCTCAGCAAAAATAACCCCCCGGCAGCGGGCGAGAGGGCAGGGGTGGAGGTGACTGACTGGACAGCTGCACCAGCCACACTGCTCGCTGGGGAGCAGCCCTCCCAGTCCGCAGCACCCCGGGACGGGGACCTAGCATGCGTGGCCGCCGCGCCAGCCCCCTGCCCAGGTGGCTGGGGGCAGAGCTGGGAGCCCACGTCTCTGGCAGCTGCCCATGGGCTGGTCCTGGTGCCACCCCTGGACCCAGGCAGTGGGCACAGCCCCAGGGCATGTGGCAGTTCTCAGGGACCAGCAGCCACACGGCCAGCCCACCTGCCCGCCCCGCTGCCTGCGGGCATCCTGAAGTCCACGTCCAGCCCTGTCCCCCCACAGTGCTCAGCCCTGGGGACCTGTCCCTGCACTGGCTGAGACCAGCACCCGGGGTGGCAGCAGCCAAGCAGCTCTGAAGAGGCAGCCCCTGCGCTGGCACAGCTGGGCATGGTGCCCACCCCACGGTGGGGTACGGCAGCCTGCACTGGAGCCTTGCTGCATCCTGAGCTCCTCTGAGCTGCTGCTGTGCCCTGTGCCATGGAGAGCAAGGGGAAACTGAGGCAGCCCAAGAGAGTCCCATGGGAGGGGGGAGATGACAAAGGGAGGTTTTAGGTCCTGTTCGGTCCCTGAGCAGGGCTGGCAGGGGCTCCAGAGGGAAGGGGCAGTTGGCATTAAACATGGGCACAGCACTGCAAATTAAGGGACTAAAATTAGGCACTCAGATAAATGGCCAGAGGTGCTGAGCCACCAAGGACATTGTCAGCACAGCCATCCCCACTGGGGTGCCATTGCCGTGCACCACCAGCCATAAATGCATGCCCACGTTGCCCCACTGTAACTCTGGGCTGGATGGGAAAGGGCCATGCAGGGCTACCATGCACAGGCAGCTCCTGCCGCCTTCCAAATCCAGGAGGGTGCAGGCTGTTCCCTGGGCAGAGGAAAGGTTCCAAGGCGGTTTGATTGCTGAGTGCAGGTGGAGGCAAGTGGAGCAAGACCCTGTGCTGAGAGCCCAAGACAGACACATCTAACCTTGAAACAAGAGGCAGCCCTGATGGGGAGGATCAGGCAACCCTGGCACGGTGAGGGAGGGCTGGGCTCTAGGAGATTAGCTCAGGTTCTTAGGAGGTGATTTAATCCAGTTTATGGGGAAAAAATTCAGGAGATGCAGCTGAGAGGTTATACAGGCTGTAGCAAGCCTGGGGACGATGGAGCCATGGTGGGAACCGGGGCTGGCAGGAAGGGTCTGGAGGGTCCCTGGATGGACCTGGGAAGTCCTTGGACCAGCCTAATGCTGCTGTGAGAAGGGCCAGTGCACCCCACCTGCATCCATGGAGCCAGGGTACAAGGAGTAACTGCAGCAGGAGAGGGGCAGAGCGCTGTGCAATGGCAAGGATGGTGTGACATGGTGTGAGTGGTGTGACACAGAGGTGATGGTGTGCCCTTAGGAAACCCTGTGCCTGACTGCTCAGCCAGCCCCACGCGTGTGCTCCCCACGCTGGGACTGACACGGTCGGGTGACCTGGGAGAAGAGCAGGAGAAAATCATTAGTGGGGTGGAGCGACAGATTCAGGGCAAGGGATTAGAGGAGCTAAATCGGGCTTGTGCGAGCAAGGGGGAATGCTGAGCTGGTGCAGGAGGAGCTGACTGGGCCGAGCACGGAGCTGGGCAGCACAAAGCCCCCCCACCCCACCAGCAGTGACCTGAGCCACCTTGGAGGGCTGATGCAGGCACCATAGAGAGCTACAGCCTGGCCCACATGCTGTGAAGAGAAGGTGGAGGACCAGGCCCTGTGCCCACTGGAGACCACAACCCAGCAGAGGCAAATAGAGCAAGGGCACCTCAATACCTCCAAACATGGGGGGTCGAGTCCCTGAACCCAGAAAAAGACCTCATCCAGCCCAGGGACCTTGCACACATCCCTCATGACCCATAACTGGCTGATGACACAGCTCACAGGGCCCCCCAGGGAACAAGGATGGCGTGTCCCTGCCCAGCACAGGGACAGCACAGCGACCGGTGGAACTTCACAGTCCCTGGAGAGCTGCATCTCCTCAAGGAGTGTGGGGAGCCCCTGAGCAGCCAGGGCCTCCATGCTGGAGGCTGGCAAGTCACAGTGCACATCCTGGCAGGGTGTCAGGGCAGGCGGGTGCAGAGCGGTGGCACGGCTCCTCCATTTCACATGATGACCCACCTCACCGCTCGGCTGCTGGCATGGAGAAAATGGCCTCGGGGGAACAACACGCTGAGTGCCAGCGCCCTGCAATGGGGCCAGGCAGATGGGCTGGATCCCCCACCACATCTCATAATCTCCACACCAGCACGCATCTCCAGCACCCAGCAGGACATGGTGCTCCCTGGTCACCATTGTAGCACACTGCAGAGTCCATTTGGCCTCAGAGCAGAGGAAAAGCCACATCAGGGGCTGCCATGCTCCTCACCCAGTGACCCAGAGCCTTCGCAGCTCCAGAGGCACCTCTGCCCTGGGGCCTACTTTTTGGGTGGCTGTTTGCTCAATGGCAGTGCACCCACAGCTAAGCACCTGGGGCAGGGTGACATTCACCCCAGGCATTAAGCAATCCTGGCTGCTCCATCCCTCCCTCAGCTGCTCCAGAAAGGCAGTGGTAAGGGCCAGTGGCTGAGAATCGGGAGCAGGGACAAGTGCGTCAGCACAACGGGAACGGGCACCTGGGGAAATCAGGTGCTGCGCTGCTGGGCAGAGGCAGGGGGGCCTGGGCCGGCAGTGCCTGGAGAGGTGCAGCTGCACACCGCAGTGTGAGAGCAGGGTGACACACACACACCCCCACCTCAGCCCCCAGGCTGCTCCCACCCCCCGGGGCAGTGTATGTCTCCCACTCTCTGCAAACACAGCATTATGCATCCAACTGCACAGTGGCACGGTCCCCAAAGGTGCGATGCACAGTGACCCTGCACAGACCCACAGCAGGGCAGGACCCCTCCTGCACACTCCTCTGCTCTCCCTGGCCCCACCAGACATATGACCAGCACGTAAACCTTCCTCCATCCTCCAAACAATGCTCCTCCAGCCTTCAACCTCACACAGAGCAACTCCTCTTCCTCCATTGCCCCCCCTCAGCACTACGAAGGTTCCTTCTGTCCCCCACTGCCACCAGCTCCCCCTCCAAGGTGCAGCATCTCCAGCACACCTACTGTGCTGCCAAGCCGCTGAAGCAGCTCCTTCCCTGGAGCCTCGGGGCTCAGCACCACCTCCCTCACTCCCAACCCTCACTGTCCCCATGTAGACAGCGCAGCTCGCATCTCAGAGCGGTGCCACCAGCCAGCACCACAAGCTCCCTGCAGTGCCCCTGGGAGGTGGCATCCATCCTGGGGCACAGAGGACTGAGCCCCACACCTGCCTGGACACTGTGCAGGGTGAGACCCACCCATGGAAGGGCCCACAGCAGCCCCCATGCACTCTCTGTATGCCAGAGGAGCACATTCATCTGCTGCATCCAGGGAGGATGAGCAAAGGGGCTGCCACAGGGCTCTGGGCAAATAAACCATCAGGCCACACCCACTGCAGGACATAGGCTCCACCCACTCGGCAGCCCCACCCCCTGCAATGTTAGGCTCCTCCCCATGGAGGGTCCCAGTTCTTCCAGTGCAGCCCCAGTGTCTGGTACAGCTGTGATGGCGATGCCACAGGCAGCTCTGCCCATGGGCAGCCAGTGCACGGGGGTGGCTTGTGCAGGGGCATTGTGGTGTACCGGGGACCGTGTCAGTGCTGCAGAGGGTGGCACCACCAGTGCCATGCACCCGAGCAACATCTCTCTCTCTCTTCCTGCCCCGAGCAGGCTTGGCATCACATGCTCCTGACACCTCCATGCTGGGCCCTGGCACCCTGCCTGGCCTGGCAGCGGGTACTGCAGCCACATGCTCGCTCCAGGCCAGAGAACTGCCCCGGTGCTGCCGGCACCAGGCACCCCAGCCTGCAGCGAGCCCAGCCCAGCTTGTTCTGGGCATGTGGTGGGAGCCTGCAAAGCATCGCTGCCAACCTCGGCAAACCCGTGCCCACGGCTGTGCCAGCACAGCCGTGGCAGTGGCCACACCACCCTTACCTTCCATGTCAATGATGGCCAGCACAGCGCTGGTCATGGCCTCTCCCCGCTCATTCTCGGCGATGCAGGTATACACGCCGGCATCCTCCTTCTTGCTGTCCCGGATCCAGAGGGTGCCATACTCCTCCTCGCATGGGGCCAGCAGCTCCTCATTTCGGTACCAGCGGAGGCTGGGCCGGGGGTTGCCCACCACCACCACCCGCAGCCGGATGTCACAGCCGGTGCCGATTGCCGCATTCTTCAGCTTCCGTGCAAAAAACGGTGCCGCTGGGCGAGCCGGGCCCTCCTCAGGTGCTCCCGGCTCTGCTGTGACCTTGGCACGCTTTGGGGGGATGCCGGGGCTCGGCGGGGCTGCCCGAGGCTCCCCACTGGCCCTACTCATGCTGCCACGTCCCTGTGCTCGATGCGTGGTCTACAGATCCCCTGCCCACGCCCGAGACCCCCGTCAACCTGAGCCAGCAGCGCTGTGCTCCTCTTCTCCTCCTGCCTGCAGCTTGGGGGTGCTGGGTGCCTGCCAGGGGTGCTGGGGCAGAGGCGGCCCCCTGGCCCAGGTGCCGTCCGGTTCGGTGCCCCCACCCCACCGGCTGCAGCCCCGAAGGTCGCAGCGCAGTGGGCAAGTGAGGGGCTATTTTTAGGCGGGCACTCGGGTTGCTGCTTGCCGAGCTACCACTCACCGAGCACCCGGTGAAGCGCAGCACCCACACCCCATGCTCCGCTGCGACCCCAAGCCCGCCCAGCGCCTCGGCACCTGCTTCTCCGGCGGCCTGGGTGTGAGTCCCACGGGTGTCGGCTGCTTGCTGAGCCGACCCAGCGCTGGGGCCGTGGCGTCCCCCCCCTCACCCGTCCCGTCCCGCGCAGCCCCTGGTGAGCTGCGCTCCCTCTGCCCCCTCTCCCGAAGTGGCAGCTGCCTCTGATATGTCACATTCCTTGGCCGGGCTCCCCCTCTCCGCGCCTGCCACCCCGGCCCTGCAGCCCAGCTCCACTTGCAAAGATAGAAAGGGGCCAGCGCCTTTCCATATTAGCAGTGAGGCTCAGGGGAGACCCAGCCTTCCTCCCCCCCTTCCCCTTCTCCGACGGTGTCACCGGATTAGGACAGAGGGACCCTGGTGGCATGTGGAGAGAAAGGACACCGTCATGCTTCCTGCAATGTGAGACCCCGGGCAGGAGCCAGCCCTGCAGGGCCCCTTTGCCCCATCCCCAGCAGGCAGCAGAGTCAGGGATCCCTGTATCCTTGCTCACCCCAAATCCATCATTGAGAGAAACCCCATTTCTGTCACTGACCCCTGCCTTGCTGCCCTGGGTAGTGTGGGTCCCGGACAGGCCCCCATTCAAGCCCTGCTTGGAGCAGGAGCAGCCTGCTTTTGGGTTTGGGATGCCCCATGCCAGCTCCCACATGCTGTGCCCCAGGCAGCGAGTGATCAGGGACTGCCTGTGCCACACGCTGCCTTGCCACCCCCGGGCAAGGCAGGGCTTCCCCAGCTCCTGGTGCGATGGCACACATCTCGGCACCTGGCCCTGGCCGCCCTCTCCGGGGGCTGTAAATCTGGGTGAGCAGGACACAAGTGACACAGGGCACACTGCTTCCCGGCTGCAGCCCAGCCCTGTCAGCTTTGGCGCAGCCCGTTGTCACCAACCTGAAGGTGCCAGCATCAGCGTAGCGTCACAGGCGAGGAGAAGATCCCAGGATCCCCCTGGCTTGGGGCACGCCGGAGAGGGATGCCCTGCTAGACTCATAGCCTGGCTGCAGAGCAGCGGGGCAAGCCCCAGGGTCTCTGGGGGCTGGAGGAGACGCCTGCGAGAGGTTTGGAGAGCTCTTCCCTGCCTGCGCTGCCCTGTGGGCAAAGGGCTGCTCTGTCCCTTGCCTGTCCCCCCCCAGCCCCAGCCTGGGCCGGGCAGGGAGGGAGGTGTCGTCCCTCCCCAGGGCAGCCCTGGGGACCGTCTTTGATGTCACAGGGCCACCTGCTGGAGACAGCCCTTGAGATTTGACACCCCCCCTCTCCCAGCACTGGGCGGCCCCGCAGTGAAAATTGGCGTTCACCGCGCTGACTTCTCCAACAGGGAACCCCCAGCCCCATCCCACCGCTGGCAGCAGAATCTGCCTTGTCTCTAAAGCTGCATCCCCTGCCAAGCCCACTGCCCTCCCAGGGCTCTGCTGCCTGACAGGGGGTGCAGACCCTCCAACGCCTCCCCGGGACAGAGCAACCCTGAATCTCTCTTCCCTGTGGGATGCTCGACTCTGGGTTCCCCTGCTGCATCCCCTATTGCTGGGATGAAGGAGACAAAGCCAAGACCCCCACACCCTGACCACAGGGAGTGGTAGCACATGAGTTGGGGAGAAGTGGTTGAAGTGGGCAGGTGAGGCTGGAGGTTGAGATTAGGGTGGGGACAGGCATGGAGGGGTAGGGCTGATGCCTGCAGAGTGCCAGAGAAGAGGTAGATTTGGGATGACGGGGGGCTTGGCTTGCAGGTTGGTGTGGATGAGGGGGAGTTTAGAGAGGTCCCAGTCAGGTGTGGGTCTCGGGTAGGGCTGGCCCAAGTGAGGGCAAAAAGGGGGCGCCTGTGGGGCTGAGACACTGGGCCATGGGTGTATGGGGGTGACAGGGAACAGTCACCCAGAGCCCCTCCAAACCTGCTCAGGGCTCACCTGCCACAACCCCCAGCCCCAGCAGGGCTCCCCCACCTGGTGGGGAAACCCACATCCATAGGCAGCAGAGTGCTCTGGGGCACCTTCAGTGTGAGGGATACACCAGCAGCCAAGGGAAGAGATGACTCGGGGGGGATGCTGGGTTCCCCATTCACCCCAGCCCTTGGGGCCTGTGTGATACCCCCCCCCCCATATGTTGCCTCCCCACCACCCTATCCCATCCCTGCCCCAGAGATGCACTGGGAGGAAGGGGTGATGCTCCGCTGTTTATTTCAGCCGCCTGAAGAGTCACGTAGACGCGGTGGGGTGGGGGTGCAGTGGGGCGAGGGGTAGGGGCGACTGCCCTGGCCCCCGGGCCTCTCTCCGGCTCGTCTCCTTCTCTCCCCCCTCTCTCCCACTCACTCACTCCTCCTCTCTCCTGTGTCCACCTACGGGTACCCTCTTGGCTCACGAGCCAGGCCCCGTGCAGCCTCCTGCTGCTGGGGGTCCCTGCGATGCAAGGGGCAGGTGCTGCCCCCCTCTGCCCCATGGAGCTGCCTCTGGGGCTCGGGGGAGCACAGGGCCCCAGCTCCCCCGGGCTGGGGCAGGGACGCAAGTCGGGAGCACCCTGGCTCCAAGCCAGGTGGAGAACAGGGGGCTCGGCCCGGACCCCGGTTCTCCCCACCCCCAGGATCACCGCCATGCACCCAGAGAAGTGTCAGCTTCGGGGAGGATGGGTGCCCTTTCCTGCGGGATGAACCCTGAGCCTGTGTCCAGTGCGGGGAGGGGGCTGAGGGGGGATCCAGAACCCGCTGCTGGGACCGTCCAGCTCTCCAGGGCTGGCCTAGCCCACCACCTGCTCCCCCAGCCCCTCCTGCCTGTCCCCTCATCCCCCTGCCCCGCCGCCACCCCAGCCCAGGCCTGATCCTGACACTGGCATTGCCGCTATGAAGCTGCGAAAGCAGAGCAAGCCTTTTGAAGCCAAAGGAGAGAGCCCCGGGGGTGCAGGGGGCCCAGAGGCGGCTGCATGGGGGGACCCCTCAGGCAGTGCCGGGGGAGCACTGGGGGCCGAGGTGGGGGCAGGAGGGGGCTTGGCGACAGGACGGAGGCAGGGACAGAAGGTGCCAGCGGGCTGCTGGAGCAGCCTCCTCTACAGCACTTCATGCTGCTGCTGGGTCGCCTCGCTCACCACCTGCAGGGAGAGAGGCACCGTGAGACGCCATACCATGCCACCGCTAGAGCCCCGATCACAGGGGCAGGCACCATGCTCAGCCCTCACCACCCTCCTCCGGTGCCACTCTGCACTCACCTCCCCATCGCGGGTTTCAATGGTTTTGATCATCACGGTCTTTTTGGTGTGCACCTCGGAGCCGCGCTGCTCTGGGCTGGTCTCTGTGGTCAGGAGGACACAGGGGATGGGACCATGGGGACGAGGGGCTGGGACCACTGCGGGGCTTCAGGAGCTCTGGCTGAACCCCCCCTCAGCTCATGACAACACCCAACCAAGTGCCTCCACACCAGGGGCTCAGTGTGACACCTGTGGGTTCCCAATCTGCCAGCCTGGCTGCAGCCCCCCAGGAGGGAGATTTGCCCCCACATTAGGGACCCCCATGGTCTCTTCCCAGGTCGTCTTCCTCACAGGGCTATTCTCACCTCGGAAATTGAGTGCAGAGGCGAAGGTCTGGTGCATGGGAATGCTGATCCTGTGGGGACACAGAAGGGCGAGCTCAGCACCAGCCAGCTCATGGGGTGAGAGCCCCCAAAAAAAGCTGGCTCTTCTGGTCCCCCAACCTTGTCCTGCCCCTCCACTGCTCACCGGTTCTCCTCGCCCTCCAGCAGCTTGCGGTACGTGGCAATCTCCACGTCCAGGGCCATCTTGACATTGAGCAGGTCCTGGTACTCGCGCAGGTGCCGGGCCATCTCATCCTTCAGGTGCCGGATCTCCTCCTCCAGCCGAGCAATGGTGTCCTGGTAGCCACCGGCCTCCCCGGCAAAGCGCTCCTCCATCTCCCGCATCTGGCGCATCAGTGAGTCATTCTGGGGGAAAAGGGGGGCTCAGCAAGGTGCAGGACCCAGAGGGACCAGGGGTCACCTGGAGATGCTGGGGGGTCCTAGGGCAGAGCCGGAGATGTGGGGAGAGCCGTGGTCAGCCCTGGGCTGGGTCCAGCTGATGTGGGACCGTGATGAGTGGCCATCACCCTCTGTCCGCCCAGCACTGGGCAGCAGGATCTGGCAGGAGCAAGCTGGGCAGGTGCTGGGCAACCCCATCACACTCTGCCTGGGTGCCTAGGCCCCCCAGAAAAAACACCCTACCCCAGCTGGAAGGCACGGAGAGGTGCAGGAGCACCAGACAGCTGCCATGGGGTGGCACTGCCAACTGGTGGCTGCTGGCTGGCTCCTGTGACCATGACTGTGCCAGAGCAGGACTGTTGTGCCCTGTTTGTTTGCAATCACCTTCCCAGCCTGCAACCAGACACCCTGAGCCCTGCACCCGCCTGTCTGGAGCCTCCCAGGCTGGAGCACATTTTGCAATCTGTGCCTTGACCCCGGGGCTCTGCCAAAACAGGGGCCCAGATTGCCACTAGGGGATTCACAGCCCATATTTGGGGTGTGAGTCCCCCCACGGCAGCAACTCAGGCAGCTGGGAAGAGTCCTCCACCCCAGAGAGGCTCCTGAGCAGCCACTGCCCACAGCTCACCGTGCCCTTGAGAGCATCAATCTCGCAGGTGTAGGACTGGATCTGGTGCCGGTACTCCATCATCTCCTGTTTCGCCTGCCGCAGTGCATCGTTGTTCTTGTTGGCTGCCTGCGTCAGGTCAGACACCTGGGGAGAGACCAGGGTCAGCGGACACAGCCACCGGGATGTCTGGGACCCCCCATGCTGGGGCCAGCCCAGAGCCTGCCACCTCCTGCACCTTGGACTTGTACCACTCCTCGGCCTCAGAGATGTTCTTGGCAGCAATGCTCTCATACTGAGCACGGATGTCCCGCAGTGCAGCCGTCAGGTCAGGCTTGGAGATGTCCATCTCCACCTGAATGTGCTGCTCCTGCAGCTGAGCCTGCAGCTCCCGGATTTCCTGGGGGGACAAAGTGACACCTTAGGGCCCCTGCTCTGTCCTTTGGCTCCATGGGTGCCTGTGGAAAAGGAGGCCACCCCTGACCTACCTCCTCGTGAACCTTCTTGAGGAAGGCGATCTCCTCCTGCAGAGACTCAATGCGTCTTTCCAGGTCGATTCGTGCCAGAGTGGCTGCGTCCACATCCTGGGGTGACACAGAGTGAGGGATAGTGGTGAGGGGTGTGGGGAGGGCACCGGGGCTGGAAGGTGCAAAGCCATTCCTGGGGCCATGCCCTGGTGCTGGGACTGGGCTGCCAGGGGAAGATGGGGGTAGAAGGGGTGGTGGGTGTCCCACACTGCATGGAGGGGATGGGTACTCACAGCTCTGAAAGCAGCTAGGTTGTTCTCAGCCTCCTCCTTCAGCTGGATCTCCTCTTGAAGCCTGCAGGCAGAGAGGGGAGGTTAGGAGGCTCTGGATGAAGCCCTGTCCCCCAGTGGCAATGTCCCCCTGAGCTGTCCCTGAGCCCAGCATGGCCCGGTGGGAAGAGGGCGGATTGTCCTGCATTCCAGCAGGCAGCAGGAGGGCTGGCAGGGGGCCAGGGCCTCTTCCTCCCATTCCCTATTATAGTCAACGCCGGAGAGAGCACAAAGGCATGAGGTCAGCTCGGTGCCACATGCGCTGCCCCGGCCCTTATAGGGGAGAGTGGCCAGCAGCCGGCGGGACAGGATGCAGGATTCTGCACCAGGGCCCCAAGGAAAGGCCACCAGCTGAGCCGTCCCAGGGAGGGCAGGAGGACAGGCGGGTCTCAGTGGTGCTGCGGGACAGCGGTGTGGAGCAGGGACCGCTGGGGTGTGAGCCCAAGGTCAGGGCTGGAGAGCGGGGCTGTGCCAGGAGAGGGGGCAGTGCCACAGGCTGCTGGTCAGGGGGAAGGCATCGGGGAGGAGGCAGAGGTGCCCAGACAGTGTTGGCACACAGGGTGGCAGGAACCTGACACCTGTTTGTTCTGGGCCCTGCTCCTCCCCTGACATTGAGAGATTCTTCATGCCCCCACCCCCAGCCTCTCAGCATCAGGGGCTCTGGCCCACCAGAACCCCAGCACTGGCTGTCTGGGGAAGGGGCTGAGGTCATGGAGGGAGGCAGCAGGCTGTGTCACCCCCAGGAGATGGGGACT